TATAAATCAAACTTTGTAGTAATCTTGTGTTTATTTTTTGATTTTATGTGAAAGAATTAAAAAATAATTAGTTTGATTATGCACACAATTTCTGAATTAAATTTAAGAATAGAATACCAAAGAAAAGTAAATGAATGTATAGAAAACATATAATTAGCAGTGGAGGTATAAAATTATTAATAAATTGAAATAGTTATCATTTAACAAGATTGATGCATAACTTGATCAAATTCTTAATAATGAATCAAAACCTATAATAATATCTTAATTATAATGTGATTTATCAAAAGTCAATTAGAATTGTGTATTTAAATTGAAAAATGATAATTACTCAAAAGAAATCAATTAAGAAGTGACTTCTTTAATCAAAAATAATATTTAACATCAAATTTAATAACTCACTAATTCATAAACTATTCAGCAATCATTAACACTTTCATCTACACAATCTAATCTTCAACCATTCATTTATTAATTGATACCACAAAATTCAATTCAATAACATTAAAATTGTAGAGCAATTGCTATTAATAAAGATTGTTCAATATTGATTGCTTCTTGTGAAAAATAAATTAAAGTGTTTGAATTTAAATCAGGTATGTTGAAATAAACTTAAATCTGAAGTGAACACAATTATATTGCTTCCACATTGAATTTTATGAACAAATCGGATCAGTTTATATCTGAGATAGATCAATTATTATATGGACAAAAAATAAAAATAATTCATGGATTTGCAAATAGAAAATCAATGGACATAAACACAGTATCCTTTGCTTGGTATTAAATAATAATGAAGATCTTATTGTATCTGGTAGTAGTGATTAAACAATTAAATTGTGGTAAAAGTAAAATGAATGGTTGTACTCTTAGACAATCACTGATCATAATTCATATGTAGCAGGATTAAGTTTTAATGAATAACAAAATAAATTGATATCTTGTGGAGGGGATCAATTTATATTAGTAATAGAACAATCATAATTGAATAAATAATGGATAGTAATATAAACGATTAAAGTGGATCAATATGGATATCGATTATGCTTTAATGATGATAATACATTCACATTCTAACCTTATAATCAAGATTAATTGCATATTTTTGAGATGGTAGTACTAATAAATAGTATACAAAGACGAAGCATATTTCAGTAAAAGGGGGTTCAGATTACCTGTTTTTCCCTTAATAATATATAAAATCAAAATGTATGGTTGTGAATAAGAATGCATAAAATGTGAATTTAATAAGGAAGAAAATAAATGGTGAATTTATAACCGAGTAATCTATTGAATTTGGAACTTTTGATATTTATGGATGTATGTCTGATGATGGGTAGTATTTGATCACTTGGGATGACAAATCAAAAGAATATTAAATAAGAGAATATCACGAAGAATGAGTTAATTTAAACATTTCCTTATATATCAAAATTTAATAAAATTCTAATTAATTGGAGAATAAGGATTTTGAGCAAAAAGATTTGAACTTTAAGTTAGTACATTCAAATTACATTAAGGATAACGAAACTAAATGATTTTTAGAAGGTTCAATTCTTTTGAATTAGAGAATGTTTAAAACAAACCAACTTTATTCCAAGTCATTTTATATAAACAGAATATAATTTTGAGTAAATACTGATAAAAATTGATTGAATTCGTATTATGTATAGTAAATAAAAATAATTACCTGAAATTAATACATTGTTTGAAAGCAATAGAGATATGAATAAAGACATTGGAATAATAACGGATTCTCGTCAACAAAAGATAATTGAAGATTCATTTCTTATTAATACTTCTGATTCTTTAAATGTAAAGTCCTTAGAAACAAATCTTAGAGTACCGATCCTTAACTTACCTTAAACTAAATTTGAAAATTCAAACTTGGCTTAATACTTATTTTAAAACATATAACCTTAAATGTAATGTAATACTAACAATCAAATATACTTTAAAGATCAATTATTAAATGAAAAATAAATAAATTAAGAGACACAATCTTTCGCTAATAAATAAAACTTGTAACCTTTCACTTATCAACTAATCCAACAATATTCAATTTCAAAAAGGAAATACTGCTGTGCAATAGCCATTAATTAAGATTGTTCGATATTATTAGCTGGATGTGGCAATCAAATTAAAGTATTTGATTTCAATTAAGGAATTATTAAAATAAATTAAATTTTACAGGAACATAAGGATCGAGTATTTACCTTAAACTTCATGAAGAAATCGTGTTCGTTTATATCTGGGGCTTGTGATAATACTATAATTATATGGTAATAAAGTTAAAACAATTAATGGATTTCCTAATAAATATTAAACGGACATACCAGTTATATCTTTTGTCTAATTTTAAATAACAATGAAGATTTAATTGTGTCAGGAAGTTGGGATAATACAATAAAATTTTGGGTGAAGAATAATTAATGGTCCTGCCATTAAACAATTGAAGATCATACTAGTGATGTTTATGGTGTGAGTTTTAATTAATAATAAAATAGAATTGTTTCTTGTGGTAGCGATAATTTAATATTAATAATGGAATTATAAGGAGAGCATAAAGAATGGATTATAATTTAAAAGATCTCAGTTGAATAATATGGTTATAGAGTATGCTTTATTGATAATAATATGTTCGCATTATCAATATATGACAAAGAATAGATCTCTATTTTTGAAATGAACAGTGTAAATCGATAATTTACAAAGACTAGAGATATTCATGTTAAATGTGAATCAGATGGTAATTGTTTATTTCCTTCATAATATATAATGTCAAAATCTCTCCTTTTTAGTAAGAATGGGTAATGTGTTAATGTAATAAAGAAAACATTAAATGGAGAGTTTGTAACTGAATAATCTATTCAATTTTATACACCTTCAATATTTGGAGTAATTAATGATGATGGAGAGTATTTGATCACTTGGGATGCTAACTCAAATTAAATACAAATCAGAAGATATCAAGAATTTTGAGAATTATAAATATTATTTAAAAAAAAGATTAATAGACTCTTTTAAATTATGTGGGCTCAAAAGTCAAATTATAAAATTCACATATTTGATGTTATCTATCATATATGGAATTCTTACTATAAAAAAATAATTGGCTCATTTAATTTTGTACTTTATTTTATTTTTGACAATGTGATTATAAAATTTTTTATTTAAAAATAATAATAATAAATGCCATTATCTACTAATTCCTCTTGAGTTTCAATATTT